TTGCGGTCAGCATGTTGATCATTTGATAAACGAGACTGGCTGAAGTTCTACTTGTTAAACCGCAAAGCCAGTGCCGTCCTTGTTAGACGACAGGACCACGACGAGAAAAAAAAGTAATAATAAGAAACGAGTTTCGGCATCGTGGACCATGAACTGCATTCTGCACAACCGAGATGCAGGTATTTAGAAGCGTCGCGAGAACTGAGAGAAACTTGTGATTAGACCCGAGAAATTATTACGTTATATCAATATCCTGTCTGGTTCAAGTTCAGTTTCTTTTCCTTTGTCTCCGGAAATTAGTTTTGAGAATAGCATCAAACTAGTCTCATCTAACGTTTTCATTTTATGTATTAAAATTCTTTTGGTGCGTCATATGTTTATTGAAAAAGCTGACAACAAGAAAAAGCGACGGATATTTTTACTCTTGCTAAACATCCTGTCAGTTATAAGATCAATGCAAAGGTCAGTTTAAATAAAGCTTCCTTCTGTAGTTAAAATTGAGTATCATAAAGCTTGCGTGTAATAAATATGCGCTATGTATTATTTTCTGATATTTTCATTAAGCACATTTAAAGAACAATTGTAAATTTTGGTAGTATTTTTGGTTTTGTACTATCAGTGACAGGCAATCCCAAACAGCTGATCGTTGCTTCCTTTCCAACGCGCATTGACTTTATCCACTTTCTTTTCGCAACTGTAGATGTTGCAGATTCCTGTAATAGCATCGACTTACAGATTTCTGTCTTACTAACACCATGTGCTGTTTGCTTCTCGCTCCGATAAGATGACACCACTAAATAATTTTTTCGAAACACCGGTAATAGGTATCAGTGGTGATATTGGAGAAGCTAAAACATCCATCACTTTGTGATAAATAAAGAATGTTATAATTGGGGGAAACACATCAGTAGTCGTGGTGGTATAGTCACTTTGTGATTACTAAAGAATTTTCATAAGATAATGCACCTACCGTCCAATGAATTTTTGTTGAGCTTGTAAAAAATAAAGAAAATACCTTGAACGAGTTTCTGTTTCTTTCACAAGGCAATAGAAAAAAGGTACTCTTCCATCCATTTTCTTCCTCTTAATCGCCTGGCTTCGAGTCTCCCATTTGGGCGCCCGGTCTATTTTCATACGTTTATGAGCTATGTTTATGAGACTTGAAAATCAAACATCAGTAGCTCGGATATCTTCATGTGGTGAAAAATATAATAAAAATTTCTTGAAAACATAATAATTTGGAACATTATTATTATATTTACATTATTGTAATTATTTTCCATTTATATTGACAATTGCGGTGTGCCTTTTAATTGATTGAAATATTTCTTTGGAATAAACGCAAACATTTTCTTTGAAAGAGTTTTCATTTTCGTCAGCACAATCTAACAAATTCGTTACCTTGAATTTTCTGTCATACCTTTCTGCGTCATACACGATCGCGTAAAAAATCGAATGGTTATGACCGTCTATCTACATGGAAATCATGCGAAAACACGCAAACGGTTCATAGAATTAAGCTCGCCGCCCGCATGTTTGCGAAATTCCTCGCACGTCGTTGGACGCCCAGAGAAAGACGCTTTGTTACGCCAACGAAAATAATGTCCGAGGCATCGCATGTTTATGTAAATCAACGACATTGTCTCGCGGGCGGTCCGAAACACCCGTATCTTTAATTGCGATTGCACTCGCACACATAGCGAATTATTCCTAAAAAGTTTTTAACCAGCAATACGAGATAACTTATAATTAATTACTATTGGATAAACATTTAAAAAAATTAAAAAAGAAGAAGACATTACGTTATCTTATGTATGTCTTATAACAAGTACAGTAACAATTTGCTCCATTTGCTTGTATGTGCTGTTAGTTTATTGTATATTGTAGGATAGATGTACCATTTATATGTAGGTTTTTCATCGATTTCGTATCGTACGACCATCAAGTCGGATTGATTCTCGTGGAGCCATTTTTCACAACGCTGATATTGTTCTTCGTGTTACATTTGCTAATGACATTAGGGAAACATTGAATCCGGAATATCCTAGTACTGATTGTATTTAACTCTCCGATTCCGCCTTTAATTTTCTTTATTGCTCCCTATTGGCCGAGTCGGAACGATTCGAACAGCGTACATGGAGCTTTTGTGCAAGCTTTCATGTCGCGCAACTCGGATACAATTTAATTAAGGCGTTCAGCTTGTAGCCTTGTCCACTTTATCGTCCGATTCATTTCAAGGTCTGATTAACGAAGCGAACCGTTTGTGCCGCGGTCCTGTTAATAATCGTTTTCCGAAACTGCTCTTATACCCCCATTTGTGCTTCAATTTAACGTTTTGGACATTTAAAGAATCGTTGATTCATAAAGTTTAGAAAGAAGATAGAAATATGTGAGGGAGAGAAGGAAGAAAAACGAACAATGGCAATTTCAATTAAATAGAGATAGAATGAGGAAACAGAGAAAAAAGTAAAAATACAAAATAAAAGAAAGCAACACTCGGCGAAAGCAATAGAAAAGGGAAAGAAACAGAGAAGACGATAACTAAGGAAAGTAGTAGAAAGAAACAATAAGCGGGGAACAAGAACAGGATAAGAATGGGATTAAAATACAGGATAAGAGATATTGTTTAAGAATGACTAAGTTGACTGTAGTCTGAAAGAGATTGTAATCCGAAAGAGAATCAATTATAAATACGTACAAACGTACGTATCTATTCATGTTGTATGTATATTCCCTAGAAATATTGTTCAAATATTTAATTTAGTAAAACTTCGCAAATAACACGTACGAACAAATATTGATTGAGAATGCAAACAGTACCCGATTCATCGAATTTATTTATCTGTCGCAACGAGGCGTCTCTTGAACAAAGTCTAAAAATCTGTTTCACAGAAGGTATCCAGTATCTGATAGGGGATGATACGCCCAATCAGGAAACGTAATAGGAAAAGATCAATATTTCAGACATCGCAAATACGTCCCTTCTTCGTAAGACGAATTTTCCTCAACAGGGGGTTAACTTAATAAATTATAGATCTCTTGTAAGACGGGAAAACAATCAGTTAAGAGCACATAGACAGTAACACGTCTGTGATATATTCTACCCATTTATATTTCCACCATATCGATATTTTATCGTTGCGTCGACGCGCAAGAAACGAATTAAATTGTAGAAATGGAGGACGAATGAGTGCTGGAACGGCAGGGATTTCACGTAATTAAGTGAATACATTAGTTACAGTTTGAACTTTAATCGTTTAATTTGTTCAGTCTCTCGGCTTCCAGATTTTACTCTCAAACTTTATCGAGTCGGCAAAACTTTAATTTTATCGAGTTTGTTCATTACTTGAACAGAACTTTGCTGATTGTAAACGTACTTTCTTTGTACTTAATCTACTAACTGAAAAGCGTAATGCAAGCGAGTATAAAATTCTTGTTCAACGATAATTGGACTAACTTGTAAGACCGATATGATGTGTATACGAAAAAATTCTTCAGAATCCTACTAATATGTCAAAGTTAAGATCGTTCGAGGTCCTCTAAGCCTCAAATTTACTGATAACTATAACAAGGCAGCTTAGATTAGTTTTTTTATTATAGACACTTAAGCCCTGCTAAATTTTGCTAAAACTAACTAACAACCGAACTTTTCGAAACGAGGTCACGAGTTCAATTTCTACCAACAAATCTCATTAAACGGGGTAGTGTCCTTGAGCGGCCAATATCTCTAGCTCCGCCTATTGCTTGAACTCGTTGACCCCTGCTGCATTGTGAAGCGGCCTTTAATCGCTATACCTGCCATGTAGAGTCCGTGCACGCATACCCTCGGCATGGTGCGGCGCGGCAGCGCGTAGACACGAGCGAGCGTGCACGTGAGCATGAGATACCGTGCCACTTAATCATCGTGTCAGTCTATCCATTTGTATTGGGGAATGCGGGTACAAGTACGCAGCTCCTCAGGTGAGTATGTTGGTACCACGACGAGATTTAGATTCCAGCTACAATTTGTTGTTGCGCGACCCGTCCTTCTTATAATATATGAGGCTGTATTGATTATTTCACTGATGATCAGACTGCGGATTTTTGCGCAAAGTAAAGCAATTATAGAAATAAAATTTTAAATCAGGTTTCCTTTAATCTTCAGCAATAATGATGTGTATTATACTGTTGCGGTTCATAGAAAATTTTTCTTTAATTACTAAATTTTAATAGAATTTTTTACCGATTGATTTTTCAGACATTTAGACAACTATGTGCTGTCTTCTAGCACAGATGAAACATTTACTGTTCAGATTGAAATGACCCATTTCAGGCGACGTTTCGCGGAACAAATACAAGTCCTGGCAGAATAATTACGTTTAACAGTGAGACAAAGATAGTAACTGAAACCGCCTCGCGAATTCTCAGCTAACCCGGCTTATTAGACGGCTAGGTATAAATGACGCCCATTTACGGGATGACCTGACCCGGAAACGTTGCCGCTATCTCTCCCACGATAGTCCGATTCATCCCTCAGATTGTGGTAGATCCGGGTAGCAAGCTGTGTTACGCAATCTAAGGCCGCGCATTACGTTTATACTATACGTCCACAATACATGTACATATTGGTGTGTACATAGTTTCGTGCATTACACGTGCACGTGTGTTCATTGTTCGGACCTTGCTTGCGTCCTGACGATAGCCGATGCACCCCGTGGATGAATTTTTAATCAACGGTGCAATTGTAGCGATAAGATGATAGATCGTCATTATTCATTCTTGCACATTTTATTAGATAAATTATTATTTAAACATTGCATCGAAGCGATTATTTTGTATAGAAAGAATTTCTTCATTTAGTGTGCAGATGTGCACGAAATATCTTAGCTATGGTTTATTGCATTAATATATACGCCTGACCTTCGCTCTCTTCCTCTAGTTTATATTTCGTGTTTAGAATTATTCACATTCCTCAACGTACTATTTCATCAAACAACACGTCTAAATCTTCGTAATTTGTTGAGAATATTTTATTTTCACGTTTGACTTTATACAAATTACATGGCAATTTCATGAGATACATGCATTTATTATTAATAATTGTACATCGGAGTTGCACATTTTTTTTATTTAGTTCTGCGATTGATAAAACTTCGTTCGCTTCATGACATCCGGACATAAAGCATGCTCACGACTGGTTTCTTCTTTCCTCTCCATCCACCGCGTCGGCGGACGACACTTAAAAAACAAAGTAACCCGTTTTAGCGCCGCAACGTGAAAGCGTGGGTCGCCTCGATGTAGATGAAGAAAAATTTATATTCACCGTGGATGTGCATGTGAATTCTGTTTGCACTTTAAAAATGCATTCCGGCGAAAATGAATATTTTTGACTAAGCGATGCGTTCGTTTTTAACTGCAGTAGTTTTAGCTGGTATTTTAAAAATCCAATGTTCCATAGTTAAGAAGCACTCGCATAGATGTAAAAATGCAGCCAGATTTACATAACTTCGATTTAATCCACAATCTAATACCTATACGTAATAATATTAGAGAGAACAAGACTATTAGGCAAAGTTAGCACTGAATCGCGTAATTGCAGCATCCTGCGTTCGAGATCCGATATCTGGAAAACTAAATTAAAGCGTATTGCTTTATCGGCTAAATTCGCGTTTCTCTTATTTGCGGTCGCAATAATCTCTGCCTAGGGTAGCGGATGCTTGTCGGTAATCTGTTTATCGATAGTTCACCCGTTATATTGATAAAATTAAGACTATGTAAATTCATCAGCGGGGGCGGAGGGACTCGTATCGTACCTTGAATCGCGCGCGCAATCGACCTACCTACTCCTGTTTGCGATCATAATTACAAGGGTTGATGCGGTGGCCACGGGGATGATGTCATTTATTTGCGTTCTTCTGGCTGGGTTCCAATTCTCAAATCTCATCTTTGTGCTCGATCCGAAAAAGCTCATTCATTCTTTGAAAGTAAGAAATCCACTGTTAAAAAAAATATGAACTTAATTATGAAATCGTTAACGTTTCATGTAGTTCACTTCTAGTTTGTAGCTGGTTTAATGGAGAAAACGTATTTTCATACTTGTTGAAGATTACCATTTAATATTATACACTATTATTGATGTAATTCTAAAGTCTAGCAGAAATACATATTTGCTCGTCAAAATACAAGAATTTTACAATTTAATCATCTCCATCATGTATCTAATTCATAGACATCTTGTTTTAATAAAATTATTAAATGAGTTATTGAATATGCCATTTCTTATTTCTATCAATACACGAAATTTTAATTGTAATTTTATTTCGTAAAAAAGAGCTTGTAAGATATTGTTAATACTTAAGAGAATTTTGGTACAAGTTTAACTGTCTTGACATTAGTACGGTATAAAAAATTTTTTGCCAAACGAAAATTACTGGTGTGCAAACATTTCTAACGAAATAACTAGCAATTCGCGGTTTTAACTTGCTACGTATTTTACACTCGCTCGTGTTTGCAACGTTTAATGAGGATCCTCGAGGAAAGGTACCGCAAAAGGGTGTGAGTAGCAGTAATGCCGTAAATGCAATTCAACTTCATCCGATCGTCTCTAGTTACAGAGATTGGTTGAAGGGAAAAGTACACATTGCGTTGGTTGGTGACTCGTGGTCGTTAGTTGAAGTTCATAGTTCACATTAATATCACTCGATCAACATTGTTCTTTTGCGTTACATCACCAAGTTTATTAGGTCGTTTTCAGTATTCATTGTCCTTTCAATACGCTTTACCTTTTCATTTCACTCTCCCATTTAATTCTCTTTCATTCTGTTAACTGGAACCCTCTTTTCCTTCTTTAAATGTCACGTATCTGTTTTTCGAATTTTTTACAATTCAATTTGTGAACAAACGCGACTAACAGTTGCGTAGGATTTCGATGTAAAATAAATCTGTGAAAGAAATCATAGTCGAACTGATTTCTGTTTTTGAAAGACAGTTTTACGTAGATCCATCGAATATATATTTAAAAAAATATATTTGCATTTTGTGCATGGAAGATCATGAGGAACAGAAGGGCGCATAAAAGCCGACGCTTTTCTTCTTGGAATTGTATGTACTTTACGAAATCCTTGCACAGAAATGAGATATTTAGATAATAGGAATATTGACTGATTCGGCGAATTTACCCTGCCATAAATTTCGTGAATTTAAATAATGGATACTTCGAATTCACGCCAAATTGGATGTCAATTTTCTGTCTCTCGAACGCAATTTTATCATTGAGAACTGTTTGAGTTTAGAAAGAATAATTATAAGAATAATTATAACTTATAAGAAAGAAGATCCTTTTCAATGCAACAAATCACTATCGACGAAAATCATTTGGTCAGCGCACCCATGACGTACCTTTATCCCCAGATTTCCTCTGATAACTCAGTTTTACCGGAAATCTCTTTACCTGGAATCGTAGGATCCCTTCAATAGAAACAGACATACAAACCCTTGTTCTGAGTGAGGTAGAAAGAGAAAAAGAATAATCGAAGGAAATTCTTCCAACTCTTGTTAGAAATATACAGTGAAGTCCATAAATATTCTTGCACATTTCAAAGTTGAATAACTTTCTTAATATTAGACTTAAGGAGAGAGACCCTGATAACGACGTGATAAGACAAAGTCAAGACAAAATTCATTTTAATGTTTAGTTTAAGATACATTCTAGGAGATTCCGGTACTTACTTTATTCAGAAGAATCTCTGGTATAAAATTACTTAAAATCCAGAACATAGTAACTACAATTTTTCCTTCACTTTCTATCACTTATTTTAAATATCGGAATAATCTCGCTGACAAAGACCAGAGTACTCTAAAGACGTACGGGTGACTCAAGGAATACTAAGCCCACTTCGCACGCATACATAAAAATCTAGTACGTTCTCTCTCTCTCTTTTAGTGCTTTCCATGCGTCACCGCTAGTTGGAGCTACGTATTTGGCGTTGTGTGTGTGTGAAGTAGGTCTGGAATCCTTTGAATCATCCGTATATCAAACTAAAATAAAAAAAATTTTGTCTTGATTCTCTGAGAAATAAAGATATAGAATCGAATCGCATAAACCTATAATTTTTGGTCAGTTTAGTGGGCAATATTGACATTTTGCTTTATCGCGTCGCTAGGGGAGTCTCTGCCCTTAAATAAAATATTAAAAAAGTTATTCAATTTTGCCATGTGTGCGAACGTTTGTGGATTTCATTATATGTCACGATTTTGCTATGAATATAGACCATCAAGATCATAATTCAATTATATGCAAGTATATTTTTGATATTACTCACAATGAAGATAAAAACAGCTGATTCCAATGGATTCACCAGATCCATGTTTCAGTGATCATAATATCAACAATAGAGCATTTTCTCATTCTTGCTGATTGTGCGAGTTTGCTAGATTTCGAAGAACGTTGGTACATACAGTCGGTGCGCGCACAATCAGGTGAGGCTTAGGAAACGGGGCAGCTGCAAACGGTTTGGCGAAGGGTGGGTTCGTCACCGTCTAAGTGAGGGGCGAGTCAGACGGCCGAAAGCCAGACACGATGAGAGCTAGGAAAAAGGAACTGGAAAATCGGAGAAAGACACGGATTGAAAACGGTGAGGAAGCGAAACAGAGAGAAAAAACGCAAACGCGACTGTTCATTGGAAAAAGACGGGCAAAGGGTGTGGGCAGAGGAAAGAGGGGCAAGCCACATAGGGGTAGTAGTAGTATCGTGGAGGGTGGAGAAGGACCTGCGCGCGAATTTCCCGCGTTCGCTCAACCTCATATTGATCCCACCCCAGCAACTCCCCGCATGTTACTACCACCAGCTTGAAGGGTTGAAGAGGCGAGCCGGCGGGGACGGGAGGGTGATCAGGGCAGGTGGTGGTGGGTGGTTTATCGGCGTATACACAGTACGAGGGACAGGACGGCGAAGAGAATCAGAGGAACCGTGGGCTCCGGGTGGTCCAGCGCGAAAGCTCGTGTGCTCTGTTCGCGACGTAAGCTTGCACGGTACGTTTCGGCTACGTTCTGCGGTAAATTTAGTTCGCCGACGTGATTTACGTGATTTTGCTACTCGTTAATCGTTGTCGATCGTCGATCTAGCGTAATCCGTGTGATATAATACTCTGCGTGGTGCCAGATTCTCGATGCGGTACTCCCGACACCCTCGCATTAACCTTCATTATTCTTGCTCCTCTGGTGTCTCCGCATCATCGATCTGGTAACGTGATTGAATCTCGACGGGAAATGAACTCGAAACAGTGAAACAGGCGGGAATAAGGAAAACGGAAGCACAAAAGTGAGAATATTGAGGAGGAAAAGATAAAGGCGTGAATAGTGGATTGTGGTTTTTTGCATCAGGATACCGATCCAAGCGTATCCGATCGGTCGGAGAATATAACGAAAGGATCACGTGAGATATCTCGATCTCATTAGCTGCGCACTTTCTCCGTTCTCACGCACCATTGATTCCGGGATAATAAAAGGATCGCGTTACGGTCGATCGATCGAATCTGCTACCCGATTAGAGCGTGTTTCATTCTGTTTGGCGAATTCCATCGATGGAAAGTCCTAATCTTATCGAAACCAATACAACACATAATAGCCAAAAATCTAGGAGAATTTTCCAGTCGCTTCTGTTTGCCTCGTTTCGGCTGCAGGCTGCTCTCGTCTTCTCGCGTCTATGTCATACCTCGTTCGTTCGCGTATTCTCCATTGTCGCTTCTTGTCTCATTATTCCGCGTCGCCTCTCTTTTTACATATGCCTCTCGGCTAGAATGGTTCTCCACCCGTTTTCACGTAGGTATGCATACCGTGACCTCCTCTCGCGTGTGAAAACTCGCGTGCTCTCTCTGCGTGTCGATGATCCCTCTACCATTAGTTAAGTGATCAGTTCACTTGGAATTATATTGAAACTGCCATTAGAAAAATTCGAATACGACTCGTTTCTTACTTATCCTCTTTAATAAAGATTATTGTTCCGCTAGTTTTAATAGAATTGAAACTTTATGAGGTTTCAAATATAATAGAGATCGTTAGGCAAATAAAAATCATCATAATTGTTAAATGTCGTCGATCTTTCAAAATATTCGCCCGCTGAGTATTGTAACAAACTCAGAAGTTTGAAGTCATTGCTACCGTTCTCCAGGCGTCTCCCTCGCGATGTCGTCCGTTGGCGACGCCGCCGCGCCGTGACCGCGTTCACGGTGTCGCTACTGCTGAAATGTCTAGCCTATAGTTCTCTAGCGCAGACCTGCAAACATTTCGTCCATAGACAGTATCCGGAACATTTCAGGTTTCGTTTTTAGGCGAGAGGGAATCACATCAATTGCTGTTTGTTTTAGCACGAATTTTAATTTGATATGTATATGCGAGAGCGAAACGTTGAGCGTCGTTTCTAAACAGGCATAAGGCGTTTCATAACTTCTGTAAGAATGCTGCTTTTAAAGTAAATGTTTCTAGGTCTGTGCCAAGTATAATGGCAGATGCTTCCAGAGATTCTGGATACTTCTGCGCTGTGATCTGGGACTGATGGAAATTGGGTTTGATTCTTCTAGGTATATGAAAGGTGACCGTTTCGTTCGATTGATCGCAAGAGATGATGGGAATGTGGTAGGCTAGACAATAAGTACGGTGCATTACGACTAAATTACATCTTTCAAGCCACGTTGTGCTTGTGAGGGAACGTTGTGTCGTGGAATAGGTATGAGATTAGGTTGTTCAGGATGGATTCGTGCAGAATTAGGTAGAAGTGGATTCTGGGAACTAGTTTTATGCGGTTTCGAGGGGAGTTCGTGTGGGTGAGGTGTGGGATTGTTCGAAATGTCGTGTGTTGGAAAAGCTTCTCTCAGCTAGAAGAATTGATCGTCTGTCTGAAATTAAAGATGAGAGTGATGTTTCTAACCCATTGGAAAATCTCTGTTTCTCCATAAATAAAATATCTGTTCGGATAAAATGTGATTTGAATAAAATGAAAACTTAATAAACGTTTTGCGCAGTTTTTAACTACAATACGATGTGTGAAACCTACTGGCCTTGCGCCCTAAATTCAATACGTAGCGTGTACAGCGCTACGTAAAGTACCTGATATTGTGTTACGGTTCATTGATTCTGCGTCCAAAACACGTTGATTATATTTACTCTTTTGCAAATCCTTTGCGATACACAATTTCGTGTCTAGAAAAGTGTGTTATCGCTACAGTAATAAACTTATTCACTTTCTATCTAATTTATTGATTCTCATACACATCGTGCAACGCTGTCGCTTCGCTGTTATTGCGAGATTCTTTTTTTTTCCGGTTCCTCATATATTAATGTTAATCTGTTTAGAATATTTAGCATCACTAGGTTGATAAAATCTTCGAAGAATTAAAGAGATTTTTGCAAAAGCGAACGGATTAATGGGCCACGAGATGATTTCCGGTAGAAACGTCGTTTGATTTAATGACCCATGACACCGGATAATGGGAAATCAGTGTATTCCTTTCTTTTAAACTTGTTTCGATAACAGCGTATGCACGCCTTACTCGTCGTTGAAAATATAATAGCATCTTTTTATTTATCATTTTCACTTTCGTCATTCCTTGTATCGCGTGATACATGTTTCTCCTGTCAAACATACGTAAGATTCGAGAAATACGTTTCGAAGCTTAAAATTTTATAACAAATGTTTTGACGACGTACGTAGAATTTAAAATTAATAAAACAAATATGCGCATTTTTCGCTTCAATGTTCAATAGCATTGAATGGTGAATATAAAAAATTGAAATACTGCTTAAAAGGAAACTTAAAGGAGAAATTGCGAAGGGACGAGTAAAATTCAAGCATCCTCGATCTCTTCACCTACTGATCTTCTTTTATGAAATTCTAATGATCTCTTGACCTCCTTCGGTCTTCTCCTCGTACAATATGTTGGTAAACCTTGATACCGTCTCTGTACCCGGTATTTTCCCATCGAACGCAAATTATCTGCTTATCGTAACTAAAAATTTTGGTTGCGCAGTAAACGTTTGAGAACCTTCTGGAAACTTGGAATCGAGGCTTTACCAAACTGTGCGACTTGAATTATTAAGGCAGGCTGTAAGAGAGATCTCGTCGCTTTAAAAGCCGAACTCGTAACAGTACACGTTCGATTATTCATAACCACCCGGTTACCTCGTTTCTCGCAAGATATTATATGTACTTCGTTCTTTACGATATACGTGTCGTTTTTCGTTTATTTAAAGTGTGTACGCAATGAAATTTTGTGAATCTGACTTCTTTATTGTGAAACTTCACTTATTCATGATTTTTGTTTTTGGCAACAATTTTTAAAAATTGTTCTTTCCTTCTATAGTCGACTAGTTTGCTCGGAATACCTACTCATGGGTCGATATTATCAATTAGGAAACAAAAAGATGGTCTCTGAACCAGGAAGAATCACGGGGTGGTATACTGTTCATCGTAATCATCATCATCGTCTAGTCGCATTCGTTTCCAGCAGCCGCCTCGAGCTTTCTAGCGGCTAATATTAATTACCCCGCAACGGGCACCGCGAGAATGATTAATCGTAATTACTTCCAACCTGCGGAGGTTCCATTATCCTCGAAAATTACTTGACGACTCGAATCTTACGGAAGGACAAACATTTTACGCTCTCATGAATTCTGTTCCCAACGGTGCTAAGTTTTGCCCTAAAAAATTCTCAAGCTTTTGGATTCAAGGTTTTTTTTATCACAATTTCGTATCAATATAATACCGCTTATTAATTTCTATGCGAAATACGAAGAAGAATTAAAACACAAATTCCTAGGAATTCCCCTGTGTTCTACTTTTAATGTTCTGTACATCTTTGCGTATTTTCTGTTTGTTAGACGTTCGGTTAATAATGCATAAAATTAGTAGTCTATTAATTGTGTTCAACGCTTGAAACTATAAAAATTTATAGAATACATAAAAGTTAATCCTTTCTATTTCTATCCTTCGATCGGCATGAGAACCAGCTGTGTGAGTCCTGGTTCCTGGTACATTCGCGCGCATACGTACGTATGACTCACAAAGTTCTCCCTCGCGAAAGAAAGCGTACGCGTTCTCTCCTTCTCGTTGGCCGGTTCGCGAGGCGAAACGCGTGGATAAAAGTACGATCTGAATGCGCAGATAGAGAGTGGACATATTCATGTAGGCACGTAAGTACGTGCGTCAGCCGCAAGACCGCGATAAATCATTAACCGGGCGTGTTTATTGGCCATGCTCGAGCAAATCTCGAGCTGCTAGATGAATTTATGCAAGGTCTGATCTCGATCGCCCGATCGTTCGTGAGAGACTCGAGAATCGGGTGCAACAGGCGATTATTGCCGATTCCATAGTTCGGTGCGATTAATATGTAGGGTGAGTTAATAAGAAATGTCATATACAATGACTCGTTACTTAATGATTTTATCAAAACATGCTGTGCGCGATTTCATTTATGATGGAGATCATTAAACAAATGTGTTCTGTTCTGACAAATTAAAATATGTTCCTGTCAGAGTTTATAACGGAATCAATAACTAAACGAGTAATTTTAAATGAAATTTCTTACTAACTCACCCTGTACATTAGATAAAGAACGAAGATGAACGAGAGGACAAAGATTTTCACTCTAATAACCACTGGTCTCAAAGATGTTATTTACAATTTTCTGTATCCCATTTTTCGTTAATGGTCTTCGATTCTTTTCCATCAAACTCCACAGGTTGCGCAATGTGGATCAGGTCAACCTGTTGTTCGATACCGGAGTACACAGCGGTGAACGCTACCAGACAATCTCTATTCACCGTTGACGCGTGTCCGTGATAAAGTGCACGCGATAACGCCTCTTTCCGCGCGATAAAACGTTTTTTGTGAAGAGGGGTGGCGAACAGTTTCCTACCTGGTGGTATGTGCGAAGCCGAAGTAGATTGAGTTTTCTTTTTTACGGTTTCGGCCACGGTGTATACGCGTGTATACGCGAATGCAATTCTCGAGATTTATACGCGGGTGATCGCGTTCGAAATGGTTGCCGCTGAACCTGATAAGGAATCAAGAAGTTCACGGGTCAGACAATTTGTATTTGCGTATAGCAGCGCGGCTTCGGTTGATTATCTGATCTTTCGTGGACATATGTTAACGAATAGGGATAAGGTGAAAGCGTAAAATGTTGCTTTATGCGAATTTGATAAGGAATCTGATAGGAAACTAATGTCGTAGCAACTTGTATTATAAAATCAAAGCTATTACCAATTATACAAACCAACTGCGTTAATTATATTCTCAATACATCGTAAGCAATCTCTACAATG